TCAGGGTCTCCCAGCCCTCCAGGCGGGTCTGATTCTGGGCCTTGTTTTTCGGGCCCCGCTGCCTAGGGCCCTGCAGCAGTGGCAGAGACTCCCAGACTCCCCAGAGCTGGCGCAGGGTGTAGCTGTGCCCGAACATCCCCAGTAGGCCTGGGAGTGTCCAGGACGAGATCTGGCGCGTCCAGTGGAAGTCCTCATCCGGATCGTGGGGGGCAGCCCAAAAGATGGATCGCAGGTCCCCAGGGTAGGGTCGGTCCCCCGCCTTCGCCTGCTGGTGCAACTCATCAACGGAGTACCTGGCCCAGGGGAGTCCACCCACCTGGTGGTTCCTGGGATGCGTACCCTTCTCCAACGCCTCCGGATTCACCTTGGTGAGGTTTTTCGCCCAATCCGGGACGTGTACCGGGCCCGGTCGTCGGACCCAGCGGCCCGCAAAGATACGGACCTCTCCGACCCGTTTGCTCATCATCCAGCGCAGGACCGAGAGCTGCACCTCCGGGGGATGGTGGGCGGCCTGTCAGGGCCCTCAGCACCTGGCGCACCAGAGCCCCCCGCCTTTGGCATGGGGATCCCTGTCAGGTCCGGCAGATCTGACAGGAGGGCCGCCGGGAAGGGATTCCTACCCAGCGAGATGACCGCCTTGGCCTCAAGGTAGGAGTCCGTGAGGGATGTGAGGTCGTCCATACTGAAGTCCCTCCATGCCGTTGTCGGCTCGAAGACCCCAGTCTCAATGGCGACCCGGACCTCACTAGGCCACGCACTGAAGGGAGGCGCGATGGGCTCGAGCATTCTGGTTTCGAGGGAGCCCTTCGCCTGTCTGGCTTGGTGTTTCGCTTTCGCCTCCTCCGCAGTGGTCTGGGCCTGGAGGAGCTCCGGTGTGGGTCTCCCCCAGTCCGCACCCAGCTTGTCCAGCAGCTTCTCACGGAAGAGGTCCAAGTCCAGGTTCTTCAGGAGCAGGCCTCCATCACCTCCTCCGTCAATGGCCCCCCCTTGAAGTTCGTGGAGGACCGCCGCGGAGCGCTCCACCGCTTCCACCTGGTCCGCCTTCTTGGCCTCCTCCTGGGCGATGGTGGTGGCGTTGAGCCGGGTCTGAATCTTGAAGGCCTTCACCGCAGACGGGTGGAAGGCTCTGCATTCCTGGCCCTCTTCCTTGTCGCCTGGCAATGGGGGCCTCCATCGGGTCGGTGGCCAGCTCGCTGACGTCCACCGAGGCACTGAGCTTGAGGTCGCGGGCCCGGTCCGTGTCAGGGCCTTCGGCACCCGCGGACCGGGCCGCCGTCCAGACCGCATTGCCCTGGTCATCCACCGTCAACTGCCAATGCGTGCCCGCCATCTCCAGGGTGGCCGAGTTGGTCGCCGTGTCAATGGGCTCCGTCTTCTTGCCGCACCCCATGCACTTCGTGGCGCCCTTCTTCACCCAGGGCATGGTGCAGCAGGGGCAGATCCAGGATGTGGGCACCTTGCCCAGGGGGCGGTTCTCCGCCCGTACCATCTGGTCGTCGCTGAACTGGTAGAGGCCCTCCGAGACCTTGAGGGCCTTGGTGAACACGCTCCCCCCCGGCGGGGGGGCTGCGGGGTTCTCCTCCTCCGAGGACGCCTGCTCCTTGACCTTCGCCATCAGCTCCCGGCGCCTCTGCCACTTGGCGTCTGCCCGAGCATCCAGGCGGGCCTCCTCCAAGCGGGCTGCAGCCGAGGGGGACCTGGGCATCGGCAGCTCCTTCTGGAGCTCCTCCATGGGCACGTCCTCCTCCGGCGGGTTCAGGAGCTCCAGGAACGCCCCTGGGGGGCGTGTCAGGGCCTTCGGCACCTGCGCCACCCCAGGGGCTGCATCTTCCATCGGCTCATCCTCTGCCTTGCGCTTGGCCGGGATAAGGGGGGCCTGCTCCAGCTCATCTGCGCTGGAGAAGAAACGCTCGTCAGGTGCCTGAGGGACCTCAGCAGCCAAAACGGTCCATCCTTCTTCCTCCCTCTTCACGAGGCTCGCCAGGTACTTTGCCATGGAGGCCTTTGCCTTAGCCTTGGCCTCTGCTACCGCGGCACCAGCGTAGGCGGGGGCGTACATGGCTTTGAGAGTAGGGGAAAGAAAGATTTCAAATCACAAGACAAAAGATCAAAAGGTCCACTTGAGCCAAAATGGTGGCCCAAGTGGATACTTATTAAGAGTCAAGACAAGCGACCACCTACGGTTAACGCTTTAGCCCAGCACCCTCAAAACCTGGAGAGGTAGAGCCTGGAGCTCCCGGGTGGACCAACCATCCAGGCCAGCAGAGGAGTCCACACACCGAGCGGCAATGGAGTGAGCCAGGTCCTCCGGCGTGACGGCCGGAAGAATAAGGGGCGTAGCCCGTTGCTCAAGCAAGTGCTGTATGGGCCGCATGAGGGGCTCAACGGGGATGCCAGTAGCATGGACAGCAAAAACGGTGTTCCACTGTTGTGCGGCATGTGCAAGAGCATCAGCAGGGTGGTATGCCGGGAGGCCGTCCGGACCAGCAAGAAGGTTGGGAGAGGACGTGGCGGCCGCCTTGGCAAGGTGCTGGAAGACCGCCTTACCGGAGTGCAGCGCGGAATGGCGGAGGCGTTCCTTCCACCTGCGGTAAGAGGCACGCTGCCGCTGGCGGGTGACCTCTTGGAGGCGGTGCTCAATTTTCTCACAGAGAGTAGCAGCACCCCCCGGGGTGAGGTCCTCAGCATCCAAAGGGAAGCGGAGATCACGTGCGAGCCGGCGGAACTGCCTGATGGTGGCGCACGTGACGGCAGCATCCGGCACAGTGGTAACAGGCAAGCGAGCCAAGCGATAGAAAAGCTCCCGTGCGAGAGACAGGAGACGAGTGTGGAGAGTGATGGGATGCGAAGGTGGCAGGGCCGCAAGAGGAGAACGCTTGGGACGGATGGGCGGGAGGGAGCCACGGATGCGGGATCCACGGCCCCACTTGGCCCCAGAGTCAACCAGAACACGGAGAGCAAAGTCAGAAAACAAAGCCCAAGCCTGTTCAGAGTCGCCAACCTCAGACAGGGCATGACCATAAGTGTGCTGCCACAGATCCTCAGCACGCTGCGACACCTGGGCAGGAGGAGCCAAGCCAGCAAGGTCCAGAGGGGCAAAGGACGCAAAGGCAACGGCTCGTGGAGTCTCAGTGGGGGCAGCAAACGTAAGGGAGACAGAGGCATGCTGGTAACCACAAAGAGGGACCACCGTGGCCTGCTCCAGGAGATGGAGCGCATGCTCGCTGAGAAGAACCGTGTCAATAGCAGTGGTAGGGGCTTCCGGAGGCCAAGTCTTGTCACGGCAGAACGTGGAGGCACGGTCCACATCAGGAGAGACAGGAGCAAGAGGGTCGACCCAAACCCCAGTGTGGCAAGCATCAACGAGTGAGGCGTAGGAAAGAGGGTCAGCTTGGAAGTCGCCAGCAAAGACGACAGGGACATCCTGAACGAATTGGGCAGCGAAGTCCAGGATCCTGGCCAGTAGCTCATCATTGTGCTGGTGGGTGGTCTCGTCAGAGGAGGCCCCAGAAATCCCGTAGAAGTTGATGAGAAGAAAGCGGAGCCTTCCAAAGACAGCCCAAGAGGCCTGCACACGGCCGGTAGCCAGCAAAGGATCAAGGTGGCCAGAAACATCCATAGTGACATCGAAGTCGTAGACGACACACGCTTGAGACAAGACAGCAAGGCCGCCCCACTCAACCCGGCGGACACCGTTAATATTAGCCGTGATGGGAAGTAGGGGACCGGGGGTGAGCTGGCGGCCAGCCTCCTGGGCCCGAAAGCGAGCAGTGCGAATGTTGTCCGCCGACAGGCGGGCCTCCTGTAAGAGAAGAACCTGGGCAGGGCAGTCAAGCAAGTCAGGGTGCGCCAAGAAGGAGCCGACATTGTGCGAAAGAAAAGTGAGAGGCCCTTCGCCAGGAAAGCCTAGGGTAGAATCAAAGCAAGACTGAATAAAGAGGACAGGATTCGCCCAGCTGAACAGGAAAAGGAGCTCAGGGTAGGCTTCACAGCGCAAGGAGGCAAGGGAACGAAGCGGCCCCACCGCAGGTGCCCACTAGCATCCGTAGCGCTGCGCCAAAGCACAAAAGGACAAAGAGGAGCCCTTCCCTAAAAAAGGAAAAACGGGCACCACTGGGCAACTGGGGATATGTCACATAAGCCCCACCCCTCTCAACTAGACCAAGGCACTTCTTTGCTTTGCGAAGTTGCCGAATCATGGATTTGAAGTCGACGGGGTGCCGCTCCACATATTCCACAAAGGACTTGAGCATGTCCGCATGCACCTGCCCTTCATGAGGCGCGGGCGAGCGCGTGCTCTTTCCCGCCATGGTTACCACAGGAAAGGCCTTGACCCAAAATGGCACTAGAGCGAATAGTGCTGCGATGCTTGCTTTGACAAAAAGCCACAAGATGTGTTGCCCATTCTCCTTAGGGTTCTGAACATGGCAAGGACGTGCTTGAGGTTATTTCTTTTTCCGGAAAGGTTCCCATATCACAAGTTGATCCAAACCGTGTGAGTGCCACCCAAAAAGCGTCGCTTTGAGTCTCATAAGTTGTTAAAAATCTGGTGATCCTGAGCACCCCACCCTCACTTCCTGAGTGGATTATCGACTTGGCCAAAATGACTTCTTCTTTGCCATTGAGTTGGTCTTCCCAAAGAGTTCAAAGTTCACCAGAAGTGAGGAACTGCGCCAGCTACCCAAACGTTACAAATCCCAAAAACACCTCTTGGGTGCGTGCGATGTGTCCACGAATAGTTGTTTTTGTTCAACTGACCTGGTGCGAAAGGCGACAGTCTGTGGCATTTGGTTGCCTTCGCGAGTAATTCCCATGGCGCTTTTTCTGGAAAACTGGAATCGCCAGAAAACTGGTGACCCTCCCAACAGAAATCGGTGTGTTTGAGGTAGGAGCAGTTTCATGTTTCACCGCCCTCTTGAGGACTTAATGCTCTTCTAGCCCACAAAGGGGGACCTCGCGACCAGGGATATGAACCACCCGACCCCGTGCGGTCCAGCGGCTGCATATAAAAAATCGCCAGCAGCACAAAGGAGTACGACGAGAGGTGCCCGTTGAAGGCGCCGTGCAGGCCCTCACCGGGAAAAAACAAAAAACGCATTGAAGCAAGACCTACCAACCAAAATGGGATCCCATTGGTTCTGACCTACAGCCAGATCTCGATTTGCCATTTGGTTGTTCGACCCCTGGAGAAAAAAAGAAGTCCAGTAGTGATAGATTCCAACTTTAAAACCAACAGCGGGAAAATAAAAAATACTCTTAAGCAAATGAAAGCCACGCATTGAGACACCACGCAGTTGAATCTGAGGGTGTTTGTATTACACCCTGGGATTACGCCCTTGGGAAATGACCCAGAATGGTTCAACATAACACGGCTTTATCCGGAAATGTGCCTAAATGGGGTCAATACCCAGTGGATGTATTCCCAGGGTGTAATACAAAAACCCTTAGATTGAAGCAAGGCCCGATTCGACCGGGAAAATGCGAAACTCAAAGGAGGACGTGTCAAAGTAAGCGATTGACTTTTTTTAAACAAGCCCAGTGGATCCATTTACCTGTACAGTAGGTAACCAAGGGAACCACCCTGTAAAACCCCAAAGAGAAAATGGGCTTGGCCCACCCCTTTCCTTTTTTGCCTTGTGCCCAAACACGTGAGGTCCATTCCAAGCCCTTGGGGAATGGACCCACGCAAATTCTCGCAGATCTTGCTGGTTCTCGGGGGAGTTGGCACGGTCCCAATCCCTGGCTTCCTTTAGGGGACCATTGGATCCTTGAGGACCAGCCAGACATCGGCTTGTCTTTGTTGCCCCCCCCCCCGCCCACAAAAAAAAAGAGCTTGGTTTCCTGTTGGTTTTTCGATAAACCTACTCAATAAAAAAAAACAAAGGCAACCTCCGAAAAAGAAAAACAACTCCGGGTAAAAAAAAGAGAAAAACACAAAACACAAAAAACTGGTTTCCTGCTGGGCTCCCTTTGAAACCACTGAAACAAAAAAACTGAGGTAGCCTCCAAACAAACTGCTTTCCTGTTGGTTTCCCTTTAAACCCACTCAACAAAAACAGAGGCAACCTCCAAAAACACTGGTGTCCTGTTGGTTTGCCTTTAAACCCACTCAACCAAAACAGAGGCAACCTCCAAAAAGACTAGTTTTCTGTTGGTGTCCCTTTAAAACCACTTAACAAAACCGAGCTAACCTCCAAAAAGACGAGTTTTACGTTGATTTTCCTTTCAAACCACTCAAAAAACACAGAGTGAACCTCCAAAAAGACTACTTTTCTGTTGGTGTCCCTTTAAAACCACTCAAAAAGCACAGCTAACCTCCAAAGAGGCTGGTTTTCAGTTGGTTTCCGTTCAAAGCCACTCAAAAAACAAAGAGTTAACCTCCAAAAGACTAGTTTTCTGCTGGTGTCCCTTTAAAACCACTAACAAAATACAGAGGCAACCTCCAACGAGTTCATCGTCGGTTCCCTTTAAAACCACTCAAAAAACACAGAGTTAACCTCCAAAAAGGCTAGTTTTCTGCTGGTGTCCCTTTGAAACCACTCAACAAAAACCGAGCTACCCTCCAAACAGACTAGTTTTCTGCTGGTGTCCCTTTAAAACCAAGAAAAAAAAACAGAGGCACCCCAAAGCCTAGTCTTCTGTCGGATTCCTTTTAAAACCACTAAACAAAAAACAGAGGCAATCCAAAAAGACGAGGTTTTCCGTTGGTTTCCCTTAAAAAAAACACACACACACAAAACACAGAGTTAACCTCCAAAAAGACTAGTTTTCTTTTGGTGTCCCTTTAAAACCACTCAACAAAAACCGAGCTAACCTCCAAAAAGACGAGTTTTCCGTTGGTGTCCCTTTCACACCACTCAAAAAACAAAGAGTTAACCTCCAAGACTAGTTTTCTGTTGGTGTCCCTTTAACGCCACTCAACAAAAACCGAGCTAACCTCCAAAAAGACGAGTTGTCCGTTGGTGTCCCTTTCAAACCACTCAAACAACACAGAGTTAACCTCCAAAAAGACAGGTGTTCCGTTGGTTTCCCTTCAAACCGAGGCAACCTCCAAAAGGACTAGTTTTCTGTTGGTGTCCCTTTGAAACCACTCAACAAAAACCGAGCTAGCCTTCAAAAAGACGAGCTTGCCGGTGGATTCCCTTTAAACCCCACCAAAAAAACAGAGGCAACCTCCTACAAGAGTTGTTGTTCGTTGGTTTCCCTTTCACACCACTCAAAAAACACAGAGTTAACCTCCAAAAGGACTAGTCTTCTGTTGGTGTCCCTTTAAAACCACTAACAAAAAACAAAGAGTAACCTCCAAGACTAGTTTTCTGCTTGCTTCCTTTTAAAACCACTAAACAGAAAACAGAGGCAACCTCCAAAAAGACGAGCTGTCCGTTGGTTTCCCTTCAAACCACTCAAAAAACAAAGAGTTAACCTCCAAGACTAGTTGTCTGTTGGTGTCCCTTTAAAACCACTAAACAAAAACAGAGGCAACCTCCAAAAAGACGAGCTGTCCGTTAGTTTCCCTTCAAACCACTCAAAAAACAAATAGATAACCTCCAAAAAGACTAGTTGTCTGTTGGTGTCCCTTTAAAACCACTAAACAAAAAACAGAGGCAACCTCCAAAAAGACGAGTTGCTCGTTGGTTTCCCTTCAAAAAACAAAGAGTTCACCTCCAAGACTAGTTTTCTGCTGGTTTCCTTTGAACACCACTAAACAAAAAACAGAGGCAACCTCCAAAAAGACGAGTTTCCGTTGGTTTCCCTTTCACACCACTCAAAAGACACAGAGTTATCCTCCAAAAGGACTAGTTTTCTGCTTGCTTCCTTTTAAAACCACTGAACAAAAAACAGAGGCAACCTCCAAAAAGACGAGTTGTCCGTTGGTTTCCCTTGAAACCACTCAAAAACAAATAGTTAGCCTCCAAGACTAGTTTTCTGCTGGTTTCCTTTTAAAACCACTAAACAAACAACAGAGGCAACCTCCAAAAAGACGAGTTGTCCGTTGGTGTCCCTTGAAACCACTCAAAAAACAAAGAGTTAACCTCCAAGACTACTTTTCTGTTGGTGTCCTTTTAAAACCACTAAACAAAAACAGAGGCAACCTCCAAAAAGACGGGTGTTCTGTTGGTTTCCCTTTAAACAACCTTGGTTTTCTTTAAGACCACTCAAAACAACAGGTAAACCACGACCGCCCCGCCTGTTTCCGGGCCCAGTTCTTCAGCTCCCCGGCCAGCTCCACCACTCGGGGCTCCAGCTCCTGTCAAAGCCGGTGGGGCTGGAGCTCGTGACGTCACTTTGTTGGGGGCGGACGTCACTTCTTTTTTTTTTTTCCGGGGGGGGCTTCAGGGAAGACATGAACCACTGCATAGACCAAAACAGAGTGGGATTGGATGTCGTGTACGTTTTTGGGGCTCACTCTTTTGGGGGCATCACCGCCCGAAAAAGCCGGTTACAACAGAGTGCTTTGACCTGAGGGCGCCCAGATGGTGTTTTTGGGGTGGACATCACTTTGGGCTGTCCGCTCAAAGTTGAACTTTTAGTGGGCCAAATGGACTCTACCGCTAAACACTACAAGGCTAAAACGCTAAGGGGATGACTGGGAGCCACTAAGATGTTTTCGGGGCTTATGTAAGACATGAGCGCGCCATTTCGGGGCGGGGGGGAATCATGTAAGGTATGAACGCCATTTGGTTGGGCGGGTTCATGTGAGTTGATTGCCATAGGTGACTGGTAAATGGAATAGATTGTGGGGGGTTCATGTTTTTTTCACCAACTGCCATGGGTGACCTTGTGGAAAAATAGATGGCCCTGCATGAAATGAACACCATCTAAACTGCCACCTACTTCAAACCAAACTAAGCTGAAAAGGACACCTATGTCAACTGCTTTTAAGGGGGTTCGTCTTTATGAACACGAGATGACCCTTGGTTGCAAAACCAGGAAAAGATGTGATGTGTCCCACTCTTGTTCTAATTAGAAGTCACGGCCTGGAAAAAAAATCGGCACGCCCTTTGGCTTTCATTGGGTAACGTGAATGGCAACCCCTGCCCTCCCCAAAGTAATACTAGACGACGAAGAGTGTCAGTTGGCTGTGGGTCAAAACGCTGTACTCCTGGTGAACATCAAAATATACATGGGTGTTCATCCGCCCCAAAATGGAGGCATAGGATATGACCCATGGCCATTGGAGCAAGTGACAATAATCAATCGTACAAGAAATTGATCGGCGACCGAAAACAGATACCTGTTAACCTGCAAAAACCTACCAAACACTGATATTCTGGAAATCCTGTCGGCGAAGCTATCCCCTTGAAACGAGGCTGACGTTTGAACCCTTAGGGGCGGCAAAGGGGCCAGAATCCAGGCAGGGCTGGCTTAAGCCTGTTCCATGCGGTACAGCCTAGGAAGGCGCTCCTGAATCTGGCGGTGGCGATGCCTTCCCACATTTAACAACGTACAACTGCTTTTTGCCCAAACTCGACATGTTCCACGAGGTATGTTGATCCCCTTGGAAAATCGGGTGAACATCGGGTCGTTCGCAACATACCACCAGAAAGCAGGGACCCTACAACCCCCTTCGCCTACAGCACCGCCATGAACTTCTCGAAACTGGGGGATTTACGCATTGGCCTTTTGGGCACACCTGACCTTAGGCAGTTTCAAAAGGAAATCACACATTGTCCGGGATTCCGCTGCGGAAAACCACCCGAAATTTGTGAAAAAGTGGTGGATTCCCAGGACTACTTTATCACTTTAGACAAACAACATCTTGGAATCATAGAAAGTGGCCCCGAACCAATTGTCCACAAGCACAGCTTCTGTTTGAAGAAAAAACGTATTTTGGCCAAGCGTCCGAGTAGCGCCGCAGCAGCTGAGTGTTAAACACCGGCAGTAAGTTGTTGCAGGACAAGTCGCAATCCACCTGGGCCCAAAGCAAAGGCTGGAGTGGCTGTGGGTCAAAAAAGGTACCCAAAATGGCTTGCCCTGGTAAATGGAAACAAGGACTAAATCCTGCGGTCCCCTGCTGGTTTAATCTTGACTTCGCCAGCTCGCAAGGGCAGGCGCATCCGAGTTGCGCTCTCCTTATGCTCTGAGTCGGTCTGAATTGCATACCCACGGATCCCGGATCATCATTATTAGACCGTAGTGGAAAGGGTAGGTAATTTTGTCGGGACGCAACATGGAACGCAAGATGGCCTTGGCGCTGTGCGACTAATTCGACAGCCCGCGTGAGGAAAAAAAGACGCGATTCTGTAGCAAATCATCGTAGGAAGGAAAACCAGTGCCCACATTCGGCTCGCACAACCCAACAGTGCTCTGAAGGCGACCAAGGTCTGGGTAGCCAGTCACTCTACCCACAAGTCCCATTCTTTCACTCATTCGGGTTCCAAAGAGGTCAACCCTTACCTTTTTCTCACCGGAGTTACACAAAACCAAGAACTCTCTCCAACAGGCCCGGAACCGCCTGCTGCACAACCGAGAAAAACTCCCCGGAACCTGCCTGCCTGTTTCAGGGACGCCCGAACCAATGACTGGTGGAGCAATGATCCCCCCCAAAAAAAAGAACTGCCAAGGGTCCGGACGCTTCTGGCGAAGGGCACGGGGGTCTGCATTTGACCCAGTGCTTCCAGTTGCCACTGCAGTAGGTAAGGGAAACTATCCATGGTAGAACCTAGTAAGAATCCCTGGTTACTTGCTGGAGTGGCGATCAGTTATCACCCTTGTGGTGCTTGGATGACTGCCCCATGAACGTGGTTTATATCCCCAAATAAGTCTCCAAGGGTGATGTAGGGTTGCCACTTGGGGGACCTGACGAAAATTGCCACTTGCCGAGGCGCGCCCTCCACCTTCAGCTTCAGGATGGGCACTTTGGCCGTCATCACCTCCTCCACCACCCGAACGTCCTGCACCAAAGAATCAAACCCGGCAACCAATGAAACATCGGGGCGGTGCTGCCAACAAATAAAATGGACATGGATGGGCAGAAAAAAGTCGAGCATCTTCAATAGTTGGTCTTTAAACACATGCTGGTGCAGGATTTTGCCCATCCACAGTATGAGCCGGGAATTTGTCTTTAGTACACCCCACCCCAGTCTATGTGTTCTATTTATTTCGGCACAGTGGACTCTCCTCACTTACCAAGCTCAGAAATCAAACCCAAGTTGTTTGGGACCGGAACATTCCATTTCCACGAAAAGTCGTCAAATTGGAAGGGAAGTTTAAACCAGGATGCAACAGCACAACTGGTCTACCCCTGCTAAAACTAACGGGTGATAGGCCCGAGACCGCCTGCAGGCCCCTGGGCCCCCTGCCCCCCCAAAACCGAAACAAGCCGGTTCTGCTACGAGTGGAGATCCCACAGAAAATACGGTGGACGGACGAAATCCTGCACCACTTTGAAACCGTGGTTGCAACCATCACGGTTGTTGGTATTTGCAGGGGAATCGACTCATTCCATGGTTTCTTAGGTGGTGCGAAATGGATCTCGTCCATCCACAGTATGTTTGTCTGGTGGCCGCGGAACAAAGAGAAGGAAGGGCTTGCTGCCTTTTCAAGGTTTTTCAGCTTTTTGTTTTTTTTTTTCTCTGGGGTCTGTCGGGAACACGCGGAGCTCAGGCAAGTGGGCAACTGGGCTCCCTCCAAAAAAGATGCATGGTCAAAAAATCATTGAGTTTCTACCAGTTGCTTGCCCAGTTAGAATTAACTTGTGTGTCAATGTTCTTGGCTAGGTTCTCCCTTCAATATCAATCCACGGGATGAACTACTGATTACGGGTCAGTTGGCCATCAATGATGCCTCATTTCTGAGAGAAGTTAACCATCAAGTAAATCCATACCCACTGCAGGTATTGCTGTGAATGGACGAAATCCATTTCGCACCACCTAAAAAGAACCTTGGAATGGTCCCATGTAACTATGTAAATACCAACAAACGGTTCTGGTTGCAACCATGGTTTCGTTGCGTGGTTTGCGATCTCCGGATTTCGCGCAACCATGCACCGTCAATCCTCGCTCATCCCTCGATCCCTCGATCCCTCGATCCCTCGATCCCTCGATCCCTCGATCCCTCGATCCCTCGATCCCTCGATCCCTCGATCCCTCGATCCCTCGATCCCTCGATCCCTCGATCCCTCGATCCCTCGAGCGCCCGCCCAGCGGCCTCCACCTCGCTGAGGCGATCGGAGATGGCCTCGAGGCAGTCCACCGCGCGGCCGTGCCAACTCCGCTGGTCCCCCGGCGTCGCCTCAATGGAGGGCGAGTCGAAGCGAGTCGAAGCGAGTCGAAGAGAGTCGAAGCGAGTCGAAGCGAGTCGAAGCGAGTCGAAGCGAGTCGAAGCGAGTCGAAGCGAGTCGAGGTGACGAGGCCGCTTTGATATGTTCGCTTCGGAAAAACAGGGACAGCACCGTACTCATCAGAGGGGTCCGCTTTTAGTAGCAAGATCATCAGTTTTAGGGGGAGATTGACTGGCATATGTCAGGCAAGTGATTGATCCGCAGTGAAAAAGTGCCCGAAGTGAGTCATATAAGTGTATGGTCAGATCTCAACTTATGGAGAACCCAGAGTTCCAAAACCATATCCACAGTACCACACACCAACTTGAGTGTTTTTTTGGGGTCTCGTTTTGAAGGCCTATGTTGAGGGAACACAATTTATTAGGAACGACGGAATGAGGACACGTCAATGTCAGCTCCTTGCTGAATGGGCCGGTCATCCAAGCATCGATGTCCCGGACAAACGGCCCGCAGAAAAGGAATGTGAGCAGCGAACACCCAATTTGAGTAGGGGGGTTCTATGGTTTCGTGTTCGTGGGGGGTTCAAGGAATGTAAAGGCAAAGCTCACCGAGCTGGGGGAATGAAGCTTCCTTACTCGTGCAGTGGACATGTGAGCCGTTCGTCCCAGCGAAAGTGCAGGTTCCCTATCCCTCAACATGCGGCAGCAGAATCTATCCAGCGCTTTCTTTCCAATGGGAGTGGACAGGGTTCCACCAAAACGGCCGGTAGCCAAAGCCACCCCACAACTGGCAATCCCCCTTTACCTGGGGCCGTTGCCCAAAGAAGGCCTGCAGAAGTAGAAGACACACCGTGGATGGCTGCGAATTCCTGCGCCTAAAAAACTCTGGAGTGAGTCCCCTCTAAAATGCAAACAGACAATGGTTTCAACCATGGCTTCTTAGGTGCAGGAAAATTGACCATCCACAGTATGAACCCTTGACCCAAGCCCTAGAAATTGTGCTACCTGTTGTACTTCCCTTTGTGATCCTTTAGGCGGATAAGCAAACGAGATGACCAAACCAACATGCGGGGGAGGGGGGGGAAATTGTGCTACCTTCTTTCCCTCAACTGAGCCTGATCAGGGGGCTACTCAGAAGAGCGTGATAAGCTATAGGATTCTAACCACTTACCGACAAGGTTGAAGACCGACACCCTTTCTGTGATGTGACTGTAGGTCATTCCGACATTCCCATGGCTTCTGCACGTTGAAAGGCATTCCCTTGGTGTCATAGAACGATTGTTCCACAACACTGTTCTGGACTGACAACAAAATGGAAACCGCAGCAGGAGCAAACACAAAGCGCAACGAATTATAAAGACTTTGGGAGGCGAATTCCGAATTTCCCGACTTCGGAGTCATATGTGTCTGCAAAAAGGCGCTAGTCTCTTCCCCCTGATACTTCAGTCAAACAAAACTTACCTTTCTTACCTGTTTTCATAAGACACAGTTGGGTCAGCGGATCCAGCTAACGAGCGCAATCCGTGTGGCAGGTGTGGGACGTTCAATTTCACACCCATTGAAATGTGCAAAGATAAACAGCTTCCCAGTCCAACATTTTCATGAAAAGTATTTCCTCCCCAGCAGCGGCCGCCACGACTGCTTCTGGAACATGCAGTTGGGGCTTTCAGCATGGGCCAAGCAGACGTTGGAGGGTGCTGACAAAGAAACATGCGTTCTCCTTTTGTGGCGCGGGAAGGGGGGGGGGGAGGGAGGAGTCGTATTGATTCCTTCTTCAAACCCAAAGAAACTTAAAACAAGAACCCCCAGAACTGCATGGAAACCAAAGAAAGCAAAGGAAAGCAGACTCTTCGAACAAAATGAGTTCTCTTGAACGAATCGGTGGCCCAGCCGATGTTTCCCAAGGCGCAACTACCCCAAGCCCCAAAACCCGGAAACCGAGGCGCAGGGCCCATGTCCACCACGAGGTCCACGTCGGAGTTCTCGTCGCCGAAGCCGTTCACCGAGGAACCGAAGGCGTAGATTTGCGCCAAGGGCGACACCTCCTAAGAATAAGACCGACAGCAGCCCAGTGCCGCCTTCGTTGGATTTGGACACGGACTTTTTGTTACAACCTGTTTTGGTTGCTGGAGGGTGCCCCACAACCGCAGTATATGTATGTATATACAAATGCGTACATATATATATATAAATAGATACATGCTGTTCTTTGGCCACACTGGGGGGCCTCTGAACTGAGCTGACAGGACGCGCAACTCCATGCACAGTCAAACCAAGCAGAAGTTAATCTCAACGTTCAAAAGGAGCTCCTAGTTAAACTGTGCGCTTAAAGTCACGTTGGAGTCTGCGAAGTGCACTGTAGCAACCCCAGCTCAAAAAGCAAAAATTCAGCACAAGAGTAGTACGCGAAGCATGCTTTGGCAGCTTCATCGTGCCTGTAACAGCTGTTTGTTTTCTGTTATCTCTGGTTTGCAAGGAAACTCGGCAATTGGGGGAAAAGAACGCAATCCTACTTGCAACTGACATCCAAATCAAACAAAAAAGTACTTCATGTTCTCGCGCAGATGCTTTTACATGTTAGTTGTGTTTTGTGTATAAATCCATATACATTCTAACCAAGCATATTGAAATCAAACTTGCAAAGCAGCTATCTCAGTTGTGCGGTACTTGTCAAATACGATTCAACCACTGTCAAGAACAACTATTGAAAATTAAGTATGGGAGGAACATGAAAGTTAAAATGATTTCGAGTCCAAGCCAAATTCAACTTTAACCGGTTGCAGTTTCGTGTGCGTTTCAAAGCCAATTGGAGAACACAGCTATTGTCATAGCCAACTAAAACTGGAATCAAGAGAAATTGCATAAGGGATATTGTCCTTCTCTAACTCCATGTGGTTTAAACCAAGCAAGAACTGAGCCAAATCAATAACAGAAATGTGTTTTCAAACATAGATCTTATTGTCGGCATAAACGGCAAGAGAACGCGGTGTTTTCAGCATTCGCTCAGATCATGTTGGCCTGGATCGAAGGCCAACTATTCAAGATTCCACAGACATCGTTTTAGAACATCCTCAATCCTGGCCCCCCAAAAGCTTGACAGTGTTTCTTTACTCTTTAAGGCTTTCCCACCTGCATTGGCAAAATGCAGGAGGTGCACATCCACAATTTGACTCTGGATTGACGATTGAGGATTGAAAGTTCTTTGACAACTCTTTCTGGGATTCTTCAAGTATGTACTTAGGGCAATCCACTTCCTGGATTGAAGATTGGAGATTGAAGATTCTCAGACCACTTGTCTGGGAATTTTCAAATTTATACTTGGGTCGCATTGATATGTGCTAGCACGTGCTAGCACATCCTGGATTCCCCTAAGTATAGATTTGAAGAATCTCAGCAAAAGTTGTCAAATGATCCTCAATCTTGAACCCAGGATATGCCAGCACGTGCTAGCACATCCTGGATTGCACCAAGTACTGATGCTATAATTTAGGTCTAAAAAAGAGTGCACTTCTTGAGCATCATGTTTAGAAGCTGACAAGTGCATTTCGCATCCATTTTTACAGCAATCATGTCAATGCTTGAACGAAATCCTGAGTATTCCAGGACGGGTACCATAGATATGTACATATATATATATATGTGTGAATATGTATGTATGTATGTATGTATGTATGTATGTATGTATGTATGTATGTATGTATGTATGTATGTATGTATGTATGTATGTATGTATGTATGTATGTATGTATGTATGTATGTATGTATGTATGTATGTATGTATGTATGTATGTATGTATGTATGTATGTATGTATGTATGTATGTATGTATGTATGTATGTATGTATGTATGTATGTATGTATGTATGTATGTATGTATGTATGTATGTATGTATGTATGTATGTATGTATGCATGCATGTATGTATGTATGTATGTATGTATGTATATGTGTATATACGAATATATATATATATACATATATATATATATATATATTCCCCAAGAATCTAGGTACCTCCAAAGGCCCATTGGGTTGAGATCCCAAGCCTCCAAAGTATATTCCTGATTCTTAGGGCGGTTGCTTTCAAAGGGAGCTTGAAGCCTTGTTTCGCCATGTTCATTGCCGGCCCCAGTTCAACACGACGCCCAAACCCGGGTTGACGCTATTGGGCCTCGAGTGGTCAATGATGCGTTGTCAAAAAATGGGTACCCCTTTCTTGGCCATGTGGGGTCCACCATAAAAAAAGGGCGGGGTCCAAAAAGGGGTCCGTATTTTTGACAGCCCACCCATACACAATGGGTTAAAAAACAAAACAAAAAAAGACATGGGTGGGTCTCTTTTAAAGGACCACCCCCAAAATGGTTTGTGGTTTTCCTTTTGAGTTTCCTTTTAAACTGCCAAAAAGGGCTGACGATACACCCATTTAGTCCCTCAACTGTGGGTAAAACTTGTCCACGTGGAGCTTCAACAATACCAATATCTCGAAACTTTGCAAAAGCTTGTGGTCGTTGAACAGATTCTGATCGAGCCAGTTGCCCCAAAAGCCCAAAGCCGATTATATAGATTCAACTCTTCAGGGAGCAGTCAATATAACCACCACCTTGCTGCAACATCAGTTGAACCCTTTTGGAGATGGTTGCAAGGATGCTGAAGCCAATCATCTGGGGGTCCAACTGGTCTAGGCCATCTTTGACCCACTTGGATGTATATTGGGTTCCAGGATCCCCCTGCGTTGCCAGCGATCCGTTCCGGGAACCCACCACACAAGCCTGGTTTTAAAACCAGGCTTGGTTTGGTTGAAGCAAATAATGACTCGGGAATCAATCTCCGGAAGGATATGGGCATATGCCAAACTAGGAAAGCTTTTGCTTTGGGTTCCCTTTCAAAAAACTGAAATGGGATCAGAAAGCCCTCAATCCAAACACGAGCCCATGTTGCTACGCGGCGAATTCGTGCTCCTGTATGTTCTTGCTCTTCGAGAATGGGGGGCTCTCACGAAGGGCCCTCGAAAATCCGACGTTTTTTGATGTTTGAAGACTCCAACGGCTGTAAAGAGACCCTGAGGGTAGCCGCAAGGCGAAAAAGCACTCAGTCTTCCACTCGCCAAAACAGTTGCCGTTTCGGTGCATGCCAAAGCTGCCGTTTCGGTTCCCCTTTCAGCAAAAGGGGAAGAACAAGGAACACCTGTCGTTTTTGTACAGATTTTCTCGTATTTGGTCAAGTACAAATCATATCAGACGAGACCCCAGCTGGTTTGACACATGCCCTGGGTCGGGTCTGCGCCCGAGTTGGGGCCCAGCGGCACTGGCAGCGGGCAGAATTCCTCAGAATCCCGGATCCCGGATCCCGCATCCCGGGGCTGGGATAGAAGGGGGCGGGTTCGGCTTAGGCTCAGGGTGGGTGCCAGTTCGCGGGTTATGGTTTGAGGTTTTGGCTTCTTGCTTTCGGGGTGGTTTAGGGGTGCTGCGAAACCCCGACCACTCCCCCCCCCCCCTCCCCTCCCCCCCCCCGCCGCATTTCTAAGGCCCTCCCCATCCAGGCCCTCAAGGGTTGCAACATTGGCTTGAGAAGGGACTCCGGACTCCCAGAAAAACAAGGGAATTCCCGTCAGGGTGGCTATTGACTTGCCGGCTTGGCCGTGGTTTTCCGTGCAGGTTCGGATGGCCTAAGTGATCGTGGGGTTCTTCCGGAAATAACCCCCACAAGCGATGTCATGGCTTTGTCTACGCAGCGTTACTTCGCCTTTTTGATTTGCTGGTTCGATAAAGCTTGTTGAGCCTCGAACCATTGCGGCCGCGGGTGGAGGGGGGGTCTTTGGGGTGTGGCTTGTAGGCTCCCTGAAAGCTGACTCGGTGCAAATCTCCGATGGACCTATCCTGTCCCAAGGATTCAGGAATACTTGGAGTCCTTTCTTGGGTCGGCACTCAGTTGAAAAGAGGTTTAGTGCTTCCAGTACCATAGTAGGTCCCCCCACTGTTTACCTCCAGAATTTACATCATGGATTCCCTTCACTACCTGCTGTACTGGTAACTGGCAGCACTGGGCTACAGAACTGGGTTGCAACATAGGTAGCAGGTGAATCTCACCACATCTACCCCACCCACCAATTGCAGTGAACCTCAAAATGCACCCCGCGCCAAGCCACGATCTCGGATGGCCTCAGTCCGAGGCAATCCAGGCGACACGTCAATATGCCCACTTCACAAGTCCCTGTGGCACTACAGCATGGAAATACTTCACTGACTTAACCGGGGTTGTTGACTAACCGCAAACCTGGCGTGTCATCCAAGTGGTAAACCTGGAATGCTCAAGACCTCGTGGGTCCGACGTGGTGGCTTCCTTTTGGGACCTTGATGGGTGGTGACAAGGTCGACTTTGCACAGGTAGGTTTGCTTAAAGGGGTGAGGTTTGCGTAAAGGCGAGGTCTCAAGGTCGACATTGGACCAAATGATCTTGGTTTGCCTAAACGGGGTGGAAGGGGGTAGGTGGTTTAAAAGGCAGAGATGCGGGAAATTCAAAGCTAGAGCACGATGGTTGAAGATGATTCCTAATCATTGCCATAGTGTACCAATTGCTTGCTGGTGCTCAGTGGGGAATGACCCAGGGTTTTGGGAAGGAACGGGAAGGCTTCCCGCAAAGGAAACCATAGGGGATGGTTTATAGGGGGCATTCCAACTCATTCCCTTTAAGTTTGCTTATAGGTCTTATTGATTATGTGGGCTAATAACTTAATTGGTTATAGTGCTACGTTGATAATGCAAAAGTTGGTCCCTGCCTATTGAACAGCACAAGCCTAAGAACTCCCCGTGGTTTTTTCCTGTATTGAAACATCATATCATTTAAACCGGCTGCAAGGAAACCTGCAGAATGTCCTGCTGGTTTCTTAGATCTTAGGGGACTTATCAAGCACTTGCCTGACGTGGGCAGTCATCCAAGAAAGGGGCCTTCCTCATGCTCCCCACGGCTCCCTAGTCACCAAGCTATACAACTGCCTTGGTATACATCTTTGCTTGGTCCACGTGAAGCCCTCTTGGACAGTGCGGGGATTGGGCTCCTGTTTTACGCTTACCGCCCAAACTCTTACGACAAAAAAAAACATGTTGAGATGCTGCTTCATGCAGTCTGCCCTAAAATGTAACATGGGAATGTGACACAATAGGGGACCGCCCAAGCCAATGGTTGGCTTCGTTTGTGTCCCGTTTGCAACCAACTTTTCTGGGGTGTCCGGCCTCCACGCGCGGGGGGAGCTTCATGCTGGGGATGGCCGGCCCCTTGACCGCGGCCATGGCGTCAAGGGCTGGGACCGACTAAAACGTGGTATTAAGAAGCCCCAGAATCAGGAAGAATCAAAGGGCAAACATCTCCGCGCCAGAAAATGGTTGGATCCGATTGTCCCCACGGATCTGATTGTGGCCCAAACAACTATAATGCCATTCAGTGGTGTGTTCTTGCAATGGGAGAGGCCGTAAAAGCAAGAGCTGAAGGGTCAAAATACCCGTTTGCAGTTCCGCTGAATCGTGAGGCAAGGGGCACAGTGACAAACCCAGACCTTTGGATAGATTGGCCAGTCGACCCGAAACCCTCTTGATCGTCACACACTGGCGAGTGGTCCATAGCAACCTCGCATATGTCCCATGTTTTCTGGACAAATATTGGTTTAGAAGTAGTGTGCTTTCCATCTAGGCTAGTAGGCTTTCTTAAAGGACATCTTCTGTGACGAGACAAGCACGCGGTGCTTGCCTATTGACCATCGTTTTGCGAAAAACAACAATGGTAATATTTAAATCGCTAGAGCCAGGAACAGTGTCACAAGTTGGCGCCGTGTGAAGCTGGCAGTATCAGGGACGACCTCAAACTCCAAAGACGCCTGGGACCCTAATGGGCCTTGACCTGCCTAGGGCCGCAGATTGCGCCCCGTAGCTGTTGCTTTTGGAAAAGTTGACAAGTTGTGCTCGCTCTTGGTTCCCTAGCTATTCAAATGGCTGGGTGCTGAATAGGGGTGCAAATCCCCCTCACGCCCTGCAATACGACCAAGCGATACCCTCCCAACCAAAAAGAATCGAGGCCAATTAAGGTCTAAGTTGGAAAAGGCCGGGCAGGTCATAGGTGCAGTTGGAGGGTCCCGTGCTAAATGGCGACATGACATGACAATATGCATCCCGCGGCCAGGGGGAAAGGTGGGTTTTAACAGGCCCCTTAAGGGAAGCCACGATGCTTGCAGCACGGCTCGGTGATGCCCCCCACCCAATCTTGGATGACGATCGGAGGGTTTTGGAAGACCAATGCCATCCTTGGGAAGCCGGAACTAACTTCCACAATGAACCACAGGGCAAAAGGACCCAAGAGCGAGCAAAGTCCTTGGTGCGGTCACCCCGTTAGGTTCGGAGCAACCCCCCTGGTGAAAAAGGAACCTTCCCCGTGACTTTTGTCGAGTCTCCTGTCAGTTTTCAGCATCAAGAAGTTCGTGCGGAAAGTTCCTTCGGCCTGGACCCAGGCCAGTGACCCCTTGTAGAAGGAATCCTTGAGGCAAGAACTTTTTCTCGGGGGGGGAATCCAGCAAACAGGGATTGAGAGGGTCCTGACCGTGTGGAACCTGAGGCTGGAACACCCATGTCAGGTCCCATGGGCTTCGACGTGGGGATAGAACTTCGCAAATTTGGGGTCCACATATCTCAGCCAGCCCAAGGCGAACACTCCGCCTCCCGTTTGGATGCTCTTTCCAGTGGGAGTGGACGATCGGGGGCTTCCCGTAAAGGCAAGTCCTGTCAGCTTGATTAGTGGAGGGATGGTCGTCTGCGCTGAGAGTCTTGGAGCCCCACACCGCAAAGGCCATATTGCAAAGGAAAGTGTCCAATCTACGGCTAGCTGCAATCATTCACCCAAATCAAGGGATAGCTCAGTAGTTGCAAGCATCTGGTCCCTGCAAAGCTAAAAGATCAAATCAAGTCCTCGTTCCCACTTCACTGGCATGCCCAAAACGGGTGTCTCAACACAGGGGGAACCCCACAACAAATCATGGTGGTCCTTCTGGCTTGCCTCCAAACAGACCTCAAAATGAGTACTCTCGCAAAAGACACGTTCAAAGGACCCAACAGACCTTAGACCTTGGAAGCATCATGGTAGAAGTCAACACTCAACGCTCCATTCAACCTCCCTCATTGCGCTTGTTCGCTGAGAGCCAAGTCTGCATCTGCTTTCTCTTGAGAGCTGAAACGGGCTGAATCGCTTCTGCAAACTGCAGTTTCATCACTTAAATGAAACCTGGCGCGCCAAATTGGCGCGAAGGCCCTGCGAACCGGCCAATGCGCACAGGCATTGGAAATCGAGGCAGGGGGCCAGGGTCGTGTAGGTGGTTTGCTCATGTACACTGTGTTAAAAAGTTAGTTCGAAGGCATGTGTTGTTCTGTGGGTTGGCTTTGTACGGTAAAGCATTGTCAACATCCTGCCACTAGGTCCCTTCATGTGTGTCTTCTGTTGGGGGCACCTATTTTGGGAGTGGTTCAAAGGAAGACCAATTGGAATACACCCAAGCGCGCTTCCACCGCTATACCCAACATTGAACCAAGGAAAGCCCTTTGCTGTGGCAAACTTAGACCCCCCTGCAAGAAGTTGGATTCTTGCTAGTTGAAAATCGAAAGCCAAGGCAAGCTAAGTCGGGCAATGTGAGCAGTGCCCAAAGTCCATTGACCTTTAGTTCCAACGAACTTGCTTTAAAGGTTGATATAGGCCTAAGCCTTGCTGTAACCATGAAACAGGTACTAGAACCTGCTCCTAAAAGCTAGGGTCTGGGTGCTGTCCATTGTTTGATGGCCGGACCTTCCATGCTTGAGAATTCCCAAAAGGGAAGTCTGAGCATGTCCGCCCTGCAACAGGTGCAATGCCCAGACATGGATATAGTAAACCAAGATCAATACATTCGACACATCCCTACGTATTGCCTTTGGTTTTCCCTCAGCAGGGAACGGGCCAACGCTTCTCCCCCCAAAAGCCAACGATCGCCGCGGCCTCTTGCGGCCCAAACCTGCAAGAGCCGTTCGTTTTCCCTTCGGCATCGGCGATCGGCAGACAGCGGTGAACCCGGCCAAGAGGGCTCCTTGTACCCAATGTTCCGAGATCCAGACATTTTATGGAGGTACATATTGGTGTGGAGCCCTTAATACGTCACTGACATGCGGATCTATGTCCACCAACCATGATTTGAAGTTGCTGCATTCATTTCAGTAGCCCCGCTCTTGGCTGAGTCCTTCGTGTCTACCATCCTTCATATCTCTCCGGGCACGCGAGGCGTTTGCGCATGAAACACATGTAAACTGAAGTCTTCAGTGGATCGGCCATTTCTTGATTCGCCAGCTGGCGCTAATGCCAAACCCCTGTTCAAATGCATGTCTCCCCTGGAGGTGCGACGATCTTCCCCACTAGTGGCAAAAGAATTGCCCGGTGCCCCCTTCCAGAATTCATGGAAGTGGACAGCTCCCCAAAGGAAAGTTTTGGGCCGAGAGCCCACCGTCAGCTTCGATCTGCGCAGTGTGCAAGGAAGGCTTTCAAAACGAGAAGCGTCAGACAGTTCAACGGTTCCTTCTCCGTCAACATTCCCTCTCTCTATCTATGTGAGCAAAGGACAGATCTAAGTCAATTGAGTGGGCCCCTGTTTTTTTGTACAGAATGTCACTGTCCCCCAAGTCTTCCCAAACTAACAGTAGACGACCAAAGATTTATGTGGATGAACTTTGAACGACGATAATTCACTGACCGAAACTTCATCATGGGTCACAACTCCCTTCTTGAAGTCGCTAGGGCCCACATAATATCTGGGTGGTGGATGTTGCCGATGGCCCAAAAAGTAGAGATAGTTTCTTGCTGGCTGGAGGCAAATACCCTTACACAGTTGAAGGTTGAACAGACAACCAGTTGTCAGTGGCCGCATGCTATAGTCAACCAAAGCAAGGCTACGTTGTACTTCATGGGCCACTGATAATATGTCCTAGGTTTTCTAGTGGAGAGGTTAGAATAAGGGTACCCTTTTTTCCCAAAACAAATGTAAAAGGGCACTACGGGGGACCTAGTATCATACAACCAAAGCATGGGCCGCATTCAACATATTGTCAGTGGCCCATGCTTGCGTGTCACATCCAATGGCGCAGCCCTTGAAATCAATCGCGTGCCGGACGGATCGGAGTCGCACTCAGATGGAACGGGTCATCGCACGGCCTGCGGCTGGGGTTGCATCTGTGAGGGCAAGCAGTGTTGCAAGATGTCGCCAGCCGCGCCCTAGTGGCAAATCCTCAGTTTCCTTCCAAGTGGCTTGGATTGGTGGCTTGGTGGTGTTCGGGGTGCTCTCCCATTTACAACCCACAAGAACTAGGGACCCGATCAAATCCAAATCCAAACCACGACGCCAGCCATCAATTGAGGGATACCTGAAATCAGGAAATACCCAATCGGTGAGCTCGTGATACTTCAGTCAGTTGGGGGCACATAAGGACCTCCCCCCCTGCCAAAAAACAAACATCGTTTGGTACTCCTTTCGAATTGGTGCTTATGAATATTTGAACCCTGGAGGTGTTCTGTTTGGGGAGGGGGAGTATGAATCATGATGATGATGATGATGATAATGATGATGATGATGATGATCATGATCATGATGATGATGATGATGATGATGGTGGTGATGGTGGTGATGGTGGTGATGGTGGTGATGGTGGTGATGATGGTGATGGTGATGGTGATGGTGGTGCTGATGATGATGGACACATAGGGTCTACTTTACAACCTTCTTTTTTTAGGGCGCGCTTGTTTATGTCTTCTTCTACCACTACTGTTTGTTTCTTCGTCGTGTTCTTCTTCCTATTCCGTTCTGATTCAGAGCCACAGCAAGGAACCATTGCAGCACCATAGTGACTATTAAGTTGGCGACTGGTGCACATAAAGGGCCATTCAGGGGCTTTTTTCGCTGGCTCTTGCGATGCTCTGAAACGGTCCGAATCTAAAGCTGGGAGTTTGGGTTTCGACTCATGTGGCAGGTATCGATGCAGGCGCTGTGCTTTCAAACATCAAAAAAGCGTGCAGCGTTAAAGAATAATATTGCTATTTAACAAAGAAGGAAAGAACGACACAAAAAATGTCAGACGGCGGCCGACTTGCTTGAGTTGGTGTGAGGCGTTTTTTGCGGTGCAGTCCACTCGCCTCCGGCCTCACTTGGCAGCCGCCTTGGGCTCAGGCTTGGACTCGTTGGCCTGCGCCTCGAACGAGTGGAACGAGCAAAGCTGTGCCCGAGCCTCTCTGAATCCATCGGGCAGTAATGACGTGGCTGTGGGTCAAAACCAATGGTACCTTTGTGGGGTAGGTGCACCACCCATGTTAGCCTATTTTAGTTTGGATTGGGATGTTCACTGACAATACGATTTTGATTTTGACCCATGGCCACGTCTACCTGTTTGGATTCCTCGGGTTCGGACTGGTGACGTGCCAAGGGTCTTGCGGTGAACACTGGTTGCATTCCGAAGGGAAAGTGCTAGGGAGCCCTAAAGCCAAATGAGGCAGCGTGCGAAACAAATGGGGTGTTCACTCGGAGGCTGAATTGGGGGGTGGCATTCGGATGAAGCTCTGGAAGCTGACGATAGGGGGTTTGGAAGATGAAAGCGTTCCTTCAAAGCCCCCGTCCACTTCCATATTGGAGGGGCAATCATCTTGGTCGAGTTTACATCTTTGCCACACGAAGCACCGGAGATAATTTGGGGGAACTAGCCCACTTCTGTAATACCACTAAGACAAATGGCCTTCCGCCCCCGGTTGACAACGTAGTGCATTCCATCTCAAAGGCAATGGTTCACTCAAGAGTCAAGAGTATTCATCCCGGATCAACATCACTGGCAGCCAGCGAGCTTCCCATGACGATCAGGCTTTAAGGGTTTGCCGCGGTTTGCCCCTTTGTTCTGCGAGTTCTCCAAACACTTCAAAGCATGAAAAAGATCTGGAAGATATGAAAACCACCGGCTCGGCGAAAGAAGTCGCGTCAACGCGGCCTTGGGCTTGAAAGGAACTTGGGCGTAGCAGTCTATACCTGGGCCGGATGCAACTTGCTGAAGGGAATGAGCGTCAACAACCAGCCCGGTGTGGCTTCCTTTCACTAGGTCCATACCCACCCCTTTTGAGTCCCGAAGAACCATCAAAGCGAGGCTTCCGTCAGTCTCGATGTAGGCCCCGGCTAAACAGTGCTTTTTGGTGGCCAGGCAAAACTGGAAGCACTGGGTTGAGAGCAGGCTGCAACCAAATGAAATAAACAAGTGCCACTGTACCTAAAAGAAAAGCCAAGCGGGAGGTGCCAACCTGGAAATTTACCCGACTTCTCCTTGACAGAGCCTGGGCGTTTCGCCACATTTGATTTGGCAACTGTTTACCACGTACTTGTTGGCGTTTACTGGGTGCTTCTTTTCTTTGGTTGCCTACCAATCTGAAATAGGCTCCGCTGGGTTTCCTAGTGCTTCCGGTGACTGCAGCAGGTAAGCAGGGCTTCGTACCTCTAGCCTGCAACAACCGAAAAGGGGTGCAGAGTGCCGTAAGATGACAGGGAAGCGAAACCAAAACGACGCCCAACCAAACCACCAACTGCAGGCTAGCCATATGGCCAAAGGGCGCCGTCCATACTTGCCCCAAAGAGGTACAGCAAAAAGTATGTGTTCAAGATGCTGGCCCCTATCTAGTCCACAAAAAAACATACCCAGAAATATACAAATTGATCTTGGAGCGGACTGCCACGGTGCCTTCTGCGTTGCGTTCCCTCGGCGCCCGGTGTGTTTCTGGAGCCCCCGGCTGCTGGTGATGATGCCGCAGGCCCCGACCAGCGCATCGTGGGTCTGGAAGAGCAACGACCTGGGCAAGGCACTTGGCTGAGCACTGTGCACCCCGCTTAAGAAGTCTAGGTCCTCCAGTAGAGAGGTTAGAATAAGGGTACCCGATTTCTGTTCCAGCAGTCTATTTTAGTAGGGGGACCCTCCCCAAAAAAAATGGTAAAAGGGCACTGCTGGGGGACCTAGAAGTGCCTAATCTTGCCGGTGCGAGAGATGCAGGGAATGAGACATGGAATGACCCCTGGAAAGACCATCCCCTGTGGCTTCCTTCAAGGGAATACCCAGGTCCATTGCCTCATTCCCTGCTAAGCACCAGCAAGTCATCTCAGTTGCCCAAAGGACCCAGACAGGCGTTAGCCTTTTTTGGGCAAGTGAGTACTAGTACCACTCCATGTGCGGTTGAGTCCACGGACAAAGGGCTTACAAGAGTCCCTATTTCCCCCAACCAAAGAGTGCGGCTGAGAGTGTGGGATAAAGGTGTGAGGCCCATAGGTTGAACGGCGGTAAACGGCCACGGCCTTGCCGACATGCACAGTGAATGTGCATTCATTAAGGAGCCTATCGAACTTTTTGGTTTGCCCCTGCACCACAGGTAAAGCACAGAAAGCAATATGTTGCAGCCGCTAACCGCAAGCCTCGAAACCTGCCGCGTTTGATGGGAACGCAGCGCATGGACAGAGGCTTGAAGAAATGTTTGATGCTGCAGGCCAGCAAAAAGCCAAGGGTTCACGTTTGCAGTGAGCCTTTCGTCTTAACGAGGTGCACTGAAGAATGCCAATGAGTTCCTCGCACGTATCACCAAAGTTGCTCAGCCAAATAGTTTTTCCAGGGGCCACGAAGACGGCTTTGGCAAATTCCATTGAACAGTGGAGTGAGTGCTGCTTGTGCACAGGCAACTCGTGCGCTTGTGACCTTCTAGGTATGTACCATTTTTCGAACGCAACCAGGGGAAAGCGTGAAATCCAGAGCGGCCAAAATACCTAGGTCCAGGTAAGGTTGACACCGATAATGGAATACCCTGAAGTGGCTTAGTATGAGGTTCTTGTGTCACTCCCTAAATTCATTGCCGAGGAATCACCAAGAGCTTTGGAAATGAACAGTGTGAAATCTCTCAAAAGAAAGCACCAGTTGGATTGTTCAGCTCGGGGCCAACTGATTCCCCTGCCTGGTCGAACCAGCAAAATGTGGTCCGCAGACCTCCCTAAAGCTCCCTATACTTCCCCCTCAAACATCGTTTCACTTTGAATGGGCCCCAGAAAAGGCCGGTGACAGGGTGATCGTTCCATCCACCCTCTTTGCAGGAAAGGGGAGCTCCGGCCCCGGAATCCCTAAACTCGGGTCGGCGCAAGTGGGCGGTCTGAATCATGATCAGCGCGTGCTTCAGCATAGCCTCCCAGCCTCAGACGGCGTCCGATTTGCATCACGAGAACTGCGGCTCCGGCTCTTTGCTTCAGTATTTGCCTCGTCAGGCAGCGCGCGAGAGAGGTTCCTCTGCAGTTGCACCTCTGCTTGTTGGGCGGGCATGCCTTCTCTTTGTTGCTTTCTGCTCCCTGCTCAAAGTTTCACTTTTGGTGGTTTCATGGAAAACCCATTCGCTGGCAAAAAGTTAAAGTCCTCACATCCCTTGGCAAAATGCACCAAAGTTCTGTTGGTGCCGCGCTCGGTGCGGGCCGTTGCAGCGGCGGATTTCTTTGGCGCGCTGAACCCCCAGACGCTCGTCGAGGCCCGCTATGCCCCGGGCTCTTGCCAAGCTGGTCGCGCTTCTGCTCCTGAGACCCGAGAATGAAAGGGGCAATGAGCCAATGCAAGCCAATGTTCCCATTTCAGGGTGGTCTTTGTTAGGGTATCCCCCCCCAACCAAAAAGAAAAGGTGGTTTCCTGTTGGTTTCCCTGTAGAAACGAAACCACCCTTAAAAAACACAGAGCCCCCTCACAAGAGGAGGAATCTATGCGTCCTTCCCCAATTGGTAAGACGAAGGAACTGTGCTCGGCAATCCAAAATCAGGTCCGACCCAAGACATGTCTCATGAGGACTGAAACCAACGAAGGGACCCCTGCCTGGTTTTGGCGAAAGTTTGGGCCATGTTTGTAGCTCTCACCCGATTTCTGCAGCATGTTTCCACCTTTTGAGTCACCCTGAACCAGCCTAAGCCCTCGTTCGGCCTCATTTGGCAAGGGCAACTAGCTTTCTTGGCCCACATCATCTGGAAAGTACACAGAGCAGAATACGTTCAGATTCTGCTTCGTGACATACGATGGAGAAACCCATATATTTCTCATTTCCGTTGGGGAATCCATTCATTCCAACTTGGGTTTCTGAGTTCGGTGGTGGAGTTGGAGTTCGATCCAAACCATCCACAGCTTGGTGGGATGTGCCCCAAGGGAGGCCAGCCATGTCCTTTTTGGGAAAATCGATGCCCCTGGCTGGCTGAACCACCAGGACATCGCCCTCTACTTTTTACCCCGAACCCACCAAAAAGGACACCCATGGGCCAGGCGATTTCGGATTTCGTGGCGTCGCAGCGCTCCTCCAGGCCGATCTCTCTGATCTTCTTCAGCTGGTAGAGCACCTGAAATCAGCTTCCCCCCGAGTCGTCCCCCACGGCTCGGGACCCCCAAAAAATGTGGGGTGGGTGCCAGCGAAATCAGTCAGGGGACCACCACCCTGTTTAATGGGGGTCCCCCCAACTTTTGTGACACAAACCCAATATGGCGGGAAAGGAGGACCTCCCACTTTTGGGGCCAATGATGTGTGTCTACCCAAACAAACGCAGCCCCCTTTCTTGCGGGTAGTTTTAAATGGTCTACCGATCTACCCAGAATGTGGAGACACAGGCGGAAGTCTGCAGCTATTTCTGGCCTGACCTTTGCCCGGGTTTGATCGTGGCTAACCTGCGGAAGCTAACCATCCATGGTAAAACTGAGAGACAAGAAACTAAGTTCGCTAAGGGGCGACACGGTATCTTTATCCTTTTTGCCTGCAGTTTTCCACTCAAGGGGCCCCATTGGACCTGGGGTCGCATACCTAAGACGGGCGTGAGGGGACTTCCCATTGGACAAGAGAGGTTCCAATCCTTCCAATTCAGCTTTTTCCGCGCGATTGACAATTCTGGGCCTGGGACCTAGGATTGGGCACCTTATGGAGGGATTGCCGTTCGACCCCTTGGTGAAAATCGGCATACACTCAGATCTGTTGGTAGCCACCCCAATTCAATTGGTGGTTGGGCGCAAAGAACAAAACTAGGAGCACTAAGAAAGACAACACATGAAACTGAGGGGGCATCCACGGAAAACGCATCCAATTCGTTTAGGCTCTCCTCAGCTGGTGCTTAGCTTGGAAAGCTGCGGTTTTTCAAAATCACTCCAAGAAAAGACGGGCATTTGAAACCTGGGCGGGAATGCGTCCGGAGCTTTCCAGCGCACCTCCAAATCTTCCCCCCGATCCAGACCACCGTGCGCATCCAGCAGGCCGGGCCCCCGAGCCCCTATGAAGTTGCAGAACGTGAAAAGCCTCAGCGCATGGCATGCTGTTTTTTTATTTTTTTTTGGAATCCAGTGGGTGAGGCAAAAAAAAACTGGTTGAGTTCAGTTGGGATGATTTTGAGGGGAGCCGGATCTCCCAAGAAAAAACAGTTGATTCGTCCGGAAGGAAACAAACCAACCACAACCCGTGGGGAATGACAAGGCTGTCAACATGTTCGGCTATACATCTTACATTAGATCGGTACATACTGCTACACACTTGCACTAGTATGGAAGGCTCCGTGCCTCCACAACCCGCTCCTGGAAATGCCCTTGCATTTGGGGAGCCGACCGTATTTCCCGGGTCCGAGCTGCGAACTTTCTTTCCCAAACCGAGGCGAGTGCCCAACTGAACGAAAGCAGGCAGTGAAGCATAGCCAGGGTTGCTCCAGGTTCAACAACCGGTGAGCTCCTTACGTTTAGAAACCTGACCTTAAGGTTTCCTACAAACCCGAATCCTTCTGATTTAAGGTCTTTGGCGTTGGGGGTCAAAGGCCACTCAGGGTCGGCCCCTCTTGTACTACGTCACACGCGAATCTGGGTATAGGCGGATATAGAGAAAACTTCCGAGCTCACTTTCAATCGAGTGGATTGGCCAAAAGCCCCCTGTTTCTTGTTTGCCACCAGAAAAGGCTTTCCCCAAAAAGGACTCAAGTTGAACTGGTGACTTGAGTGCAACCGCGGTTTCACTGGGACCAACTTCGGTTTCTTCAAACATTTGGCGCTTTCGAGGAACCCGGGGTTCCGCACTTCAGGCCCAGCTGGATGGTCCCGGCCCCGGCCCTGCGAGACAGTGACGAAACCTACTCGGATGCGTGGGTCTGGAAACAATGGCAAAAGCAAATCATGTTCTGTTTCTTTGCGGAAAAATAGAACTAAATAGCGGGTCTGCCAAAAATTCACAAGGCACAACCATGTTCTGTTTGCTTTCTTTGAGGCAAAATTAAAGAACTAAGGGTTATTTACCACTCGTCTACAATAGTGAATTGCCTGGGATGGGAGGGCTTTCTCTTTCATGAGGGTTCCCGCCCCCCAAGGGTCGGAATCCTTGTGTTTATTTCTCTGAAACCGACCCAAAGGAGGCTTCCCCAGCTGGATTGTTTAATGGGGTTGCCTGGAAGTATGCGTTAAGGTACCAAAAACGGTCCAGATAATTATTTTTCATGATTATCTCCGCTGTAGATATGAGATAGGAAGCTCCACAAAGTTCAAGACAAACTCAGAGACACTACATGCCACCCTCCAAAGCTTGAGGATGTCGAGTGAAGCCATGGTTGCAGGTCCGAACACTTGGCACACAAGGATTTGTTCAGTGGAGTCTGAACACAAAACACGTGCTCCTGGCTGGAAGACTTGAGGGAGAAATTCCAATCAACGTGTTCCTGGTAGCCGAAACGGCAACCCAATTCAATTGGCGCTCCCTACATGGAAGCCATCGGGCCCCCCCCATCGAAACCCGAGTTGTCAAAGGTCAGCTGAGGTTCCAAACCGGAGCCGAGGAAGGGTCCGAACTTCCCATTTTGATATGCTGCAAACTCCAAAGCACCCTGACATTTAGGTCCCAAAACTTCCCTAGATGTCCCCCATCAAACCACCAAAAGGAGATTCACTTTGAGTTGGCCAAAGTGATGTTTAAACCGCAAAAAGTGGAACTATAGGCAAACCCTATACTTGTGGGTTTGTCAGAATGAGGGGTCCTTTTCGAATTTGCACGGGGAAATCAAGCTGGAACCTGGCCACTGTTCTCTTTTCAGGGGTTCCACTTGGTCCAAATCCTGTGTTGCTTCAGGAGTCTACCCAAAATCCAGGGTGGTTGGAGTCCAACGGGCAGCGCGCGAAGAACTTGTTGCGAGTTAGAAAGGCTAAAGGCGGCACTGAAGACCAAAGACCAACCAAGCAAGGTTCGGTCCACGTGAACCACGGCCAAGATGCGAGGTATCCGTAACGGACAGTTAAAGAGTCACTCTGTGTTTGCTTCTCCGGGAAGTTTAAAAGGCCTTCCATGTCCCTCCCAAAATGACAAACAAATCAGGATATCCGGACCCAAACTCATATTATGTACATGATATACATATATATATATATATGAATCCCTGGTATGTACCCCTGGTGTATGATTGGTTTGTTCACTAGGTGTGAATTTGGGCTAACTGGTTTCCCACAGCACCAAGGGGTTCATGGCCATGGCGACATTGCTTGGCGCATCCAACCTCAATCTGACCTGCAAAATTCACTGTCATGTTGACCCGGTTAATATGGGGGTAGGGGGTGGGGGCCCCTCCAAAAGTAATACATCGCCGCTAAAATCAGGGACACACCCATATTAATAAACACAGGGTTATTGATCCGGGGTCAACATTGCAAAACCTGAAATGCATAAAGGACCCTCATCATGGTGAGCTCCTACAAAACCCGCGAGCTCGCCATTATTATTTAAAAGAATCAAAAACAGAGTTCGTATAGCCTTTGGCCCAGGTTGCGCCTCTTGCCGCCGGACAGGATCTTCCACTGCTTCAACCTCAGCTGCTCGCGAGCAACACCGGTCCGTGGTGGCCCAGTACATTACGTCTCACATCCAATTGATGTTGTTGGTCTGAAGGTGTCGAAACTGTCTTTTCGCTTGCGGGAAAAAAAAGGAGGCTCTTCCAAAAAGCATCCCCAGAACTTCAGGGACCGAGGCGGATGGTCCTTGCGTCAGTCTGAGCACCCAGCATGCCGATATGATCTGTAATCAGAAAGGCAGCAAGAGAAGCCTGGCGCGTGACGCAGCGCCACGCGAACTGCCCACGAGTGCCCCGTGTGGAAAACTTCGATTGCTGGACCATTGGTCTGCCCTTGATTGGGTATGAATTTTAACTTGGGACCCTTTGGTGGACATCATTTAGTTGGGGATTTATGTCCACCAATCTAATATTCATAGAAATATATCTTCCCCTTGTCAAGGTTACCTTCGCAGGCAATAGTGGCACCATGAGTTTCGCCAGTATTCAAATTGACCCAAGTGGTACGGGAAACAACCCCCATCGATTGAACAACGGTGGAAGCACCCAGGGTGGCTTGAATTTGCTTTAGAGCGGATAACAATCATCCCTTTTTACTTCAAGACCACGTCTTCTTGACGTGTTTGCGAAAGCCACAGTGTCTGGCCCCGGTATTACCAATGTCAAGGACACTTTCCACATGATAGGTTGAGGGAAAGCAACCCTCTGTTGCTGACTTTAACCACCAGAGACTGTCAGAAGAATAACCCTGGAGTCTCGCAACTGAATGCGTCACCTTGCCTCCCCATCCCCTCAATCAAAACCTGGCATTGAAGTCGTCTACCCAGACCAGTCTAAAGAATCAAAAGGGCGGATATCCGCACCCATTTATGTTTGGGAGTGCCCCCCTAATAACCTTCAACTACCCGGGTTGGGACTGTGGCGTCTCCAGCCCGACTGACCCCTCGCCGCCAGCTGCTTGTTCTGCCCACTGCGCAACGCCCGAACTGGGCTTCTTTGCGTGGAACCTACTTCAACTTTGAGCTTCTAGTAAAGGTTTGGCTTAAAATGGGTTCTTGTGTGAACCTTTCCAGATCTCTAACGATCACTGACGACACACAGGGCACTTGTCACCATAGCGGGCCAGCATCTGCACGTAGCAGCTCTTGCATGAGAAATGGTTGCCACGGCACCTGGGAGCACGAACTGGACCTTGCACAGTTTCCCCAGGAGCTCCGGCTAGGCAAATCACGCAAATGCGGTCCTGGGGGTCACTAGGAAACTGGCCATAATTGTCAAAGCAAATCTTGCTGAGCTGGTTGATGAATTCAGCATCTGGCAACTTCTTGACATGCTCCACGACTTCCAAGGCCTGTTGAAGATCGGTTGGATCGGCGGCTGCTTTGTACTTGACGGTGCGGACGAGTTGCTGAGCACAAAGCACAGCCACAGCAACGAAGATCACTCCTGTCCAGGAGGGGGGCAAAACTTATTTAACCCACCAAACCTTGGTCCCCTTTAACGGCAAACCAAAAGGGGTTTGTTTACACATGCTGGGCTGTTCAAAATGGAGTGCTGGCCAACCCTAATTCAAAATCTTTGTTGGAAACCACTACTAAGGGGACCAAATCCTTACTACATAAGGCAAGGCAGGGACATTTCAGATTTTGTCTTTGCCCAGCCCAGACAAGGAGTGCTTGAACATGTTTAAGCAGCGGCCTGGCCCAGCCCCGCTCCTGTCCCAGCACCCAGAGCCGCGCTGGCCGCCATGCCCCAAGAGTTGCAAGCGCAGACATTCCCAGCACCATAGAAAAAGCGGTAGAAGAGACAGAACCCATTAGCGGCCTTGGCGGTGTGTTGATCCCTTACAAAAAGTCGATTTGCTTAGTAGCGATCATGATGGCATCAATCCCTCGAACCTAACATGTTGAGATTTTTTGGTCTACCCTAAAATATAAAACAAACGGAGACTCCAGATGTGGCTGGGAACGGCCAAGTGGCATGGTAGTAAGCAGCACCTCCGCCCAAGATCGCGCCGCCCGCAACCACGAGACCAAGAGCCTTCCTTGGGTTCTCATCCACCCAGCTGCTGACGTAGCCCATGTTCAGGCCAAACCAGGAATCCGGGAGTCCAAGAATACGGTACAGCCGGATTTGCAGGATGTCCAGAACTTGCTTCATCTCCACATACACTTTGTTGAACTGGTCTTTCTCTTCGCTTCCATCAACGCTCAGATCATAGCTGCTTCCAATTGCCAAACTCTTGGTCTCAAGCAAGTCTTTGACAGCTGCATAGATCTGTTCCACTCCCTTCAGTGTCTCGTACTTGGCGCGAAGGTCCTGGCCCCACCCTCAACTGGTTCAACATGTGGCCATCTGGCTGTGGTTGTCAAAACCAATGGTACCATTTTGGGGTAGGTGCACTGGTGCACCACCCATTTTAGTCTATTTTGGTGGGATTGGGATGTTATTGACCCATGACCATCTCTATTCAAACATCCTCATTCTAGTGTCCCATTTCAGGCTGACCAAGGTGGAGGGTTGGCCAATCAAGACCCATAATCCATGTACAACCCAGTGGAAGGACGAGGGTTGCCGATGAGCAGCCTAGCTACCGACCCTGAACAATCCACCCTTGGTCCTTCTGCCTTTCTTGATTCGCTTGCGTCAGCAACGGCTCAATTTGCCGGCTGGCGTGGACTACCTTCGCGAAGACTTTGTCGCATTGCATGAGCTGCCCACGATAGTCGTCCCTGGGGTTGGCAGGCTGATAATCTGCACCTTACTTGCCCAGTGGTTGGACACGCTTCTTCGGCTGGTTGATGCTTGGGGCAAACCACAAAGAAACTCCGCCAAACCTAGATCCCTGGAAAAATTGCCTGCTGGTTTAATTGGAAAACGAAAGGATCGAAGATGGCCGAAGGACAAAAAAATGGTTAGCCAGGTCTGGCAACGGAAATGCAACAAAGAAAAAAACTGGCGCCACTGGGCAACTGGGGCACCATAGCTTGCCATGGCGAATCCAAATGAATGCAGGATAACGCCAATGCCCCTTCAACCAAAGGCTTGGAGCGCCTTGCTTGCAACCAGCTTGGGTCAGTGTGGGGGGGGGGGGGGCGGGGTCTCTTGGTCCCAGTTTGTTCTTAAGGCCTTTGGTGGTGGGACTTGGAGGCTGCTAAACGGCTGCCTCTTCAAACCAAATGCCGCAAGGCGCTCAAACACCCACGTCAGCCGCGCGAAGGCAAGGCGACTCCATGCGCCGTTGCTCAAGACGCCAAGAAATGAGACATATGGGTGCGCCTAACCAGTAGAAACCGTCCGCAGCGGAGAATCGGTCTTGAAGACCGCCCCACCCGCGCCATGCTTGCGAGCAGTCAAAACCGCTTGCCTTCAGCCTCAATCCGGCAAAAGGACAAACAACGACATCACACCAAACACATCACCGTGAGCGCCACCAGTCACCAACCAATCACCCAGGCTCCCTGTAAACATGCGCGAAATGACACCTCAGACGCGCGGAAGGCGCACCCCCAAAACCCCCCCCGCCCCAAAGTCGTTTCTTCGCCCGCCTTCTGCAGCAAGTCCAACAAGAGCTCCACTGGGTCGGCTATCTTGAAGCACCTGAGTCGCGGAAAAAAAAAAGAAAACGAAACGTCTGGGTGCCCTGGAAGCCGCAAACAGAAGCCATGGTCAAAACTCCTAGGCCATGGTCCTGATTGCCCTTTGCATTGGCTTTCTAAAACGCTTGTTGCAGGGTTGATGACCCTCCCGAAGAAGGGGGTCGTTTGTACCATGAAACTCATGGCGTGGCCATCTCTTAGCCTGTGAAGGCCCTTTTAGGGCGTCGGGGCACAAGGTTCACACCTCAACTCTCACAAACCCCTCCCCCAATCGGTAAGGCCGCCTGTGGCCTTATTTTGCCTTCAGAAGGGCTGCTAAGACCCTAACGTGGTTCAGGGTTCCCTGATTCAAAGGTATTGTTCAAAAAGGATCAAGATGTAGTAAAACCACCAGCTGGTGCAGGGCTCTAGCTATAGTTCGCTTTCGGGGTGGCTTGAAGAATGCCTATGGCTTGTCAATGCTAATTGACACCAAGCAACACAACTCAGCCCAAAGTTGCGTTTATGTGCCAATTGTCCAAGCCTGTGACTGGCAAACATCTGCTTCCACCTGGTGTAGCTTTGCGTCGCAACAACAATGTGCGTCTAAAAAAACGGCCAACAACTCTGCAGGAACTGCTATAAATGTAAGGGAGCTGCTCATGGGACCCGAGAGCGAGCCGGCTAGCACGTGGTTACAACTATGGACCTGTATGGAATTCTGTGAGCCTGATGCTTGACTCCCCAAGCAAACGAACAAGTGTTCACAACGAAAACCACATGACTGCTCAAAGAGAAAGAGTCCCCATTGCGGACGGTCTCCGGTTCACTTGTTTTGTCCTTAACGGTCGCAAAAGGCTCCAGCCAAAAGGAGGGCTAGCGGCCTTTGAAAGTAGGCCGTCTTGGTCGCGTGCATCCATCAAGATCAGGGACCCCACCGGGTCCCTCCTCAAAAGAAACACACAACTCCAACCATGCATTCCGTGATTGAAAAAAATGATCACAAAAAGAGATTGCTAACATTCAACTGCCTTGAACCTTTCCCTTCCACCACTTTATGGGTTCAGGGATGAGGAAACCATTGTTGGGATTGCTTTGAAGGGAAACCAAACGAAAAACCACCCCAATTGCGAGACAAACCCATCTTGGGAGCTGCTCAAATTTCTTTGCGACCCATGAGATAACTCTGAGATAACCCCATGGATGAGCTAGACTCTTAGAAACAGCTAGATTGTTTGATGCTTTGTGATTTCTTTTCGTGGCCCAAATGTATTCTTAAACTAGGCCCTCCAGTAGAGAGGTTAGAACAGAGTACCCTTTTCTTGGGGAACCCCCCAAAAAAGGGTAAAAGGCCTCTACTAGGGACCTAGTAAAAGTTAGAGATAGCCTCTCCCGTCCGCGTTGTCCTACCCCCCTCCCCACACTTTCAAGCGCCTTTTAAATACACCTATCAAATCACCCCATTTTCAACCCCCAAATTGAAACACCTACTAAGTTAATCATGAGAAAAATCAGTATTCTCATCATCAACTTCATTTTTTAGTCCAATTCACCACCATCAACCTGAACAACTTTATTTCTTCTCAAAGCTGGATTATACAAAGGCATTGTCATTTTGAGTTCTTGTATCCTCTCTTGACCTTCTTGAAAATATTTGTCCTTGAATTCTTGTGTAGGTGCTTCTTCAACTAATCTCTGATAATCTGCTTTCAAGTGTTTGAGCATATTATCTTGGTGGCAACCTCCAACCAAATGGAAATCCCAAATCTCTGGGTTCACTCTTCTTTCACAAACATGACAATACAAATATCCATTATTCGCTGTCCTCTCTCGCTTCTTCGCTCTACATTTATTACATGTCTTGAACCCGTTAAATTCAGTAATTGGTTTATTGACTCTACAACTGCTACACTCTGAATTCTCCATACTATGTTATGAATACATTTCCTTAAATGATCTTTCAAGATTACATACCTAAAACATGAATAAACCCAACCTTGTTCATCCAAATAACACATTGTCGATTATCACTCCCCAAAAAATGGTTAACCAATGGAAAAGGGAGAATTAAAACCGTTAACCCAAATCTTGAAAATAATCCCAGTAAAATATGGATGGCAATATGCGGATGGGAAAGGCCTATGTAGGGGCTCATCGTTTGTTTCACTATGTGTCAAACACACCCTATGTGTCAAACACACATACCCCTATGTGTCAAACACACATACCCCTATGTGTCAAACACACATACCCCTATGTGTCAAACACACATACCCCTATGTGTCAAACACACATACCCCTATGTGTCAAACACACATGCCCTATGTGTCAACACACATGCCCTATGTGTCAAACACACATGCCCTATGTGTCAACCACACATGCCCTATGTGTCAACCACACATGCCCTATGTGTCAAACACACATGCCCTATGTGTCAAACACACATGCCCTATGTGTCAAACACACATGCCCTATGTGTCAACCACACATGCCCTATGTGTCAACCACACATGCCCTATGTGTCAAACACACATGCCCTATGTGTCAACCACACATGCCCTATGTGTCAACCACACATGCCCTATGTGTCAAACACACATACCCCCTTTGCGAAAACCACATTGTGGAAACCACATACCCCTTTGCGAAAATCACATTGAGGAAAACACATTGCGAAAACGTCGCCTTCAAACCTTCAGAATTTCCGATCTCAAATAAGCACGAGTCGCACCTTGGACATAATAATAGTCTTGTCCAAGTTTTCGCTCAATCCTTTCAATTGTGAACTTGTTTGCTGACCATGAACTCGTTCTTTCTTTCTCGGAAATCCCTTTTTTGCGGTATATTTTGACCTCATCGCCAACCCTAACAGGGGGATATTTACGGGTTTTGATTCTGTTCATCTCAAGCTTCATCTTGACCTCAAGATGGTTTCCCTTTTTGTGGGCATCGGTTGGAGTCATACCGTGGGCAGAATGAACCATTTTACTGTTGTATGTCAGCATGATCTCGGGGATATAATCAATCCATTGTATATTAACCTTTCCCTTTTTCTCGTCTGCATCAACCCTCTTGAAAAGCATGTCCTTGAACGTGCGAATGAAACGCTCGGCAAAATGGGGGTGCCCTCGTGTTTTATAGTTTTGGATCCCTTCGTCCTTGAAAAAATCAACAAGATCTTGGGTGTTCAGGCTTCCCTCGTCATCCGAATAAATTAATTTGGGTTTCCCTCCAATTTTGTTTAATGCCTCCATGATCCCAGCCGTGATGTCAGCAGGTTGCTTGGATGCAATAGGCACCACCACTGCTTTGCGGGAAAATACATCAATAAGCAATAAGCCTATCCTATATTTTTGATTATCTAAATCATTTTTTGATATAAAAAACAAATCCAATTGATATTCAAAGTTGATATCAGGGGCAATAAACGAATTGTATCCAGACAGTTGTTTTTTCCGTTCCACGTTCTCTTGAAACCACTCCTTGACATCTTGCATTGTTATGGATGCATCTTTCTTTTTGGCGTCTGCAAGAGTTGTTTTTAAAGAGCCAAAACCAGCACGATCATAATAAACTTCGCTAATAATATCTTGTTTAGACATATATATATATAAACAGGATATTATTGTTTTTGTTGCAAACAATATTGGTGTTTGTTTGTTCGTTGGTGCCTTTTGATTTCGTGAATTCTAACCATGGCGCCGCATTCGCATTCAACCTTTTCTTTTTTCTTGGCGCATATACTATCTTGCTTCTCTTGATAATATTTATCACTTCTTTGTTTGACATACCCCCTATTTGCGTTGCACCATTCTTTTCTTTTTTCAGCCAAATATTCCTTGTTATTGTCGGCGTATTTCGCTTTTTGTTGTTTGATTTTGTCAAAGTTGTTGTTGTAGTATTGTTTGTTATTTTCATTAATTTGTTGTTTGTTTTGTTCATAGTATTCATGTCTTCTCTGGTCAATTTGTTCCTTGCGCTGTTGTTTGTATTCAGAATTTCTGTTCAGGATGTATTCTTTGTTCTTGTCATAGTATTCTTGTCGTTTCTGCTTGAAATAATCTTTGTATAGTTCTTTATACTCAGCAGGCGTCCTTCCTGCAACACATTTATTGACGCATTGCATTGCTTGTATGTATTCTCCTTCTTTCCTTAAAAGTTCTTCCTTACTTTCACAGGGGTAATTCTGAATAAGAAGTATTTTACAATTTTCGATTCCGTATTCATCAAATATTAATCGCACTCTTGTATCAACATTGCCAGTTTCCAAATATGTCTTGTAGAGTTTCCTGTGCCTTTCCATTCTTTTGCTTAATGGCTCGGTCGTAGACCCAATGTAGCACTTTTCAAAATCAGGACTTACTATTTTGTAAATTTTCCCTTTTTCATACCGGTTCATACCTCTATATACCT